AGGGAACGTAAGGAGCTTGGTAAGCACCATCCTGTTTTGTGAACTGGGGTCACAGTGGAAGTTGAAGCATCTTCTTGTGTCATCCCCAAAACATGAAGCAAAGAGCACTTACACCCTCTGCATAAAATCTGAGTCTCTGTTATCACATTCATGTGTAAACATACTTTAAATCAACACTGGAGAAACACAAAAGTGAGCAAAGTGACTGCAAAGTGAGATAGCTAGCTAGCAAGCCCACAAAACTCTGACCTTTTAAAGCTTAACAGTATTTCTAAAATACTTGAAGATTTACACTCTTAATTAGCAAAACTGTACATTAATTCTAGCTGTGTTAGCTGTTCTTAGTTGGAAATCTTCTTCAGATGGGAATAAAAAGAACAGTGAGGATTATGAGTGACTTTTCTGAAGTCATACAAATGTCATGATTTCCAGGAAACTCAGTGGTTCCCTAGGCTGAATTTTGGTTCCTACCATATAATGAAAAGTTAATTTCAGAACACAAAACCAGACATTACCCAAGGGGAAAAAAAAAAAGCATTAAGAGAAGAATGGGATTCCTGATCTGACTGTAAACAAGCAGATTTTTCTATCTGGGAGATGCATTGCTTTTAGCTTGAAAACCAAAGATTGTAGTCATCATGCCTGAGCTGCAGATGCAGGGGTTTTAGTTTCATTCTCTCACCCTGATTTCCTTCGTAACCATACAGGGCTACTCATCAGTTTCCTCTCCACCCACCTGAACCAAAGCTTTGGAAATGAGTGGGTAAGTTTGATGCTATTTGACAGAAATAGATTTCAGAAGTTACAAGATTCCAGCAGGTAGTCTGGAGACTACTTGGCTGGCGATGCCAAGTCATGTCCATTTACTTGCTCCCCTAGGAACCGAGACGCTGAATTTGGTTTGCCCAGCAAGTTGGTAGCCATGACAAACCTATTAGCTGCTGAAACAGAACACGATTTAAGAACAGAGAGGAGGTAAATGAAAGCAAGACTGAAAGTGCTATGGTATGAACAAGAGTAGGGAGTGCCACGTGAAAGGATGAAGGAACTGTGGCATGGCCAGACAAGGCCATGAGAAGCCAGTCTTCACAGTTCTGTTCAGAGACCAAATGAACATATCCAATTCTTAGTCAAGCGTTACCTGCCTGCTTTAAGTGTGCAGGCGTAACATTAAGGAAAGTATTTCTTATTACTGCACTGCTGAAGTAAAAAATTGAGAAACCAGATATGCGCTAGAACTGCAGCAACATTTACTGTTCCATAGGGTTTCCACATGAGGACAAGGCTTCACAGTTAAGTCTAAAACACAGCAGCACCAAGGATTCCTTGCCCCTACAACACTTGCCAAGGTGTTAGCAGTCTTAACATCTTCAGCAGCCTCTGTAAGAAGTTTAAAGCTTATATTCTTTAAAATTAAATTTACCTTGGATGTGTTCCTGTGTAATCTGCTCTAGGGGATCCTACTCTAGCAGGGGTGTTGCACTAGATGAATCTCTAGAGGTCACTTCCAACCCTGACCATTCTGTGATTCCAAGCAAGCTTCTCCAGGACTCAGATCTGTTTGCAGTCTCTATCACATTCTTCTAATACAGACTGAACATCGTTTCTACTAATTTTGTATTCAACGTGGGGTTGCTTCCCCCATAAAACATCAGCTATCCTCACCTTCTGTATTGCCTTCTTTCCAAGATAACTCTACCATCCCACCAGGTTAAGAGTTCTGCCCTTCTGCAAACACTGACAAGAAGCATTTCTCATAACTTTACTGTAAACTATGATAAAAGGACCTGAGACCATAAGAAGGGTTTTGCCCCCCAACCAGCCAACCACTACATTAATCCTGGAAGAGCATATATAGTTCTGTCTATAGCATGCTCTTTTTAGACTCATGAGTTCAGTAATACCTCTGCTCTCTGTCCACACCACATGGTTTATAAATACACATTTTATACAACACCCAGCTCTTTATTCTAAAGAGAGCACCAGGCAGTAAATACTACATATGAAGTTTCCAGCTAAAGATTAGAATGAAGGTAACATCTAGTGTACAAAACTAATCACGAGACATTTAGAGCACCAAGTATTCCACTACCACCTGAAGTTATGCTTCTATGCTTTGAACAAGGATTGACAAAGTTTTAACTGCAGCGAGAGATCAGGAGGCCAAGTTGGCTGATAGTTCCTTTATGAAGTACATGTTTGCTTTCCAGTATGGTGTACATCAATAGCTGAACATGTTAACTAGTGAACAGCCTTGAATCACAGCTGTGACATCCAAGTCCATGCACTGATCTCTAGATGTGGGTCAGGCCAAGGTACACTTTGGGAACAAGTCTGTCACAGGCTTGTAACACTCCCTTCAGGAAATACCCAAAGTGGCATGATTTTGGAATGTGTGATTTACACTAGTGCTGTTCTTGTACAGAAGCTAGTAATCTGCAGTCTCTGGAAAAAAAATAATCTGAAGTTTAAGCTCATTGTCATATCTTGCAGTCCATGCTCCAAACTCATTTCGCTGGAGAAATATCCTGCTATAGTCACTGCAAGTTGCTTAGTTTAACACAATTTAAGAACAATGTTCCCCCTTGAAACAGGGTTAACACTGCCAAGACTGAAATAAAGTGTTTAGTAAAACCCCAATTACTGACATTCAGCAGACACTTTCTAAGCCACCTTTTTAAATTCCAACAGCCATCCTACAACATTGTACTGATCTTTTCCTCCTTCCTGAGCTGACAGGAAATAGGTGTAACAAGGCCAAAACTATGCATTTTCTTCCTTATAACAGCCTGTAAAACCCAGCATGTAACTAGAACAGCCTTGTCTCTGCAGATGGTGAAGTCCACCATGATTTACAGCATCATTTGCAAAATATGACTTTAAACACATTCTCATTTCTGGACAAATATATCAAAGTATATTTTATTGACATTCTCCAAACAGCCTGCTAGAGAGAAATGACAGTATTAAAAAAAACTGTAAAGCTTCTAGCTTGCATTCAGTGTAAAAACTTGGGAGGTATAAACAGAAGCCTGGAGTAAAAATATTAAGTACATTTCCAATTTGACAGTGCAGAAAACTGATAACAACGGTATTTTCTCTACATTAGAAGTGTTTCCATATTCAATTCCACATATATGTTTCTCTTTTATATAAACTTCTGATAACTTATGTACAAATAAGATGTCCAACATCTGTTCTTTCATATAAATATGTAATTTCCATGACTGAAACATTACAACAGTTTGATCAAAACTATAGAAAAATCCATTTTTTTTCCAATGGCAGTGTTCAACAAAAATCCTTGATCCCAAATGACCTCAGAATGACAAGTACTTCTTTGCCATAAAAATGCATTGCTCATTCAACATGCAAAGTATTATTGCATACACAAGTCACTTAAACTACAACAACAGTATCTGAGGGACATGTGCTGGACTGCCCATTCTAGCAAGTGCTAGCTGTAACACCGTATGTATCACAGAAGAAAGCGTAAGTACTAGTGTATTTTTAAATAAAATGCTACAAACTCAAGTATTGTCCTCAGACTACTAAGACTTAAGGCAATCAGGAGTTGGGAGCTTCAGCTTGGCATACTTGCATTAAGCTCTCCCACTTTCCTCATTAATACATTTAACTTTAAAATTTATTTTTAGAGGGCTGCTGATAAAATTTTGCTATACATATTGATACAACTCAGTGTGAAGTGATTAAGCAGTAACCTAGTTCAATATCCCCAATTACACTGAGCTGATCTAATGTAAGCAACAACAGTTTTTCTACCAGCTAAGTTTTCCAGCATGTATTTCTAAATTGTTGTGAGAATAGAGAAAATATTCAATGTCTATCCTCTCAGTGTTAACTGATTGTATGACTTCAGTCCATTTTCGAATTTACAGGTTCAAAATAGATTTGACAGTCAAGTAACATTCAGCTTTACAAAGGATTATTATTTGCAGTAAAAATACTATCTATATAAACACACACACAGTAGATTAAAGTCAACAGGCATTTCTTTATGGCTTTTTTCACTGAGGTACTGTTATCCAGCAACAGCATGCAAGTGTTCATATGGTATGAATGCCACATTCATAAGCTCATGACAAGTGGCAACAGACTGCAAATCTAGCTTCACTGCAGGATGAGAGAAAGTCTTCCCTTCCACATGGAAGGTCTCAGTGCAAGCTACAGAAAGCCTCAAAGGCAACTGGCATAAATGGGGAAAGTCAGTCTCAGTCTATTAAAAGGAAAAAAAAATAATCATGTCAAATTACAATCTCACAGTCAGGCCATTTCTTACAAACAACAGCAAACATTTGGGACTTAATATTCCAAGGCAGCAAGGGCATATAGCACAGCAGCAAGGCAATAAGACTTGAAATGTGTAGTTAAGCTCTTGCATCTGATTTTTAAGCTAAGTGCATGCACAGGCCTAGAGCAGCCAAACTGCTATTGTAATAGCACAGAAGGTGAAGTGCTGCAAGTCAAAGATGAACACTGTCAGAAAATATGAGGTTGACAAACATTACTTCAGTTGATGCCACAGCAGACAGAAAACCCCTGGTGACCAAGTCTATTCCTCAGCTGTAAAAAGCTTACTTGTGAATGCACCTTTTCCGTTTTTTTTTTACATGGGGGGCAGGGGCAGAAATGCAGATTTACTAAATTCCTAGTCACAGTACTTCCAATCCTAGTGATCTTACAGGTTTTATGTTAAGATAGTGATTGTTGCTGTATGTATTTAGTATTTTACCCATACATCAGAAAATATTGGCATTTTGTTGTTTGTTCTTGTTTTAAACAAAGTAGCTGTATGACTTCTGTTTTTATTACACTAATGCTAAACTGTATTTCTGCAATAAATACTATTAGAGTGAAATAGAAGTTAAAAATACACGCAGTTAATCATGGCAACTAGTTCTTTCCATCCAAGTTTTCTTTTTTTAACCCCACAAACCCATTAAATAGGCTGCTGATGTTTGAGTGACCTCCTTAAGTGAGGATACAGGACAACATTTAGAACTCAGAGCTTAGCCACTTAAAATTTATACTTTATATACACCTTATGACATATCGCCACTTAGATCAACAAATTCGTCATCCCTCTTGACCAAGTCCTCTTCATCTTCCAAGTCTTTCCAGGTGCTAGTGGGTAAAGCTGGTTTGACAGACTGTCTCTGAAGTAAAGCAAATGGAAACAAGGATGACAAACGGGCAGAATTTCTCATCAGTGGAACAGAATGTATATCCCCAGAAATAGCTTGGCTATGTTCTTCATCCATTTTCACCTGCAAGCTTTGTACTTCCTCCATCAAGTCCAAAATCTTGGCAGCTGTAGCTATTGTTCCACCACCATGAAGCTGGGCTTCAGGAATCCATCGTAGATACCGTTGTGCCCAGACTTTGATTTCAGGGCCATCGATGCGAGGTAACAGAAGACCGTGATAGTCAACAGGTTTGCTATGCCAGCTATCATAAAATTCCCTGAAGCTACTAGGAAGTTCATCTGAAGAATTTATGAACTTGCCAATTCTTTTGCCCAGAATGTTTTTAATTAAATGATCTGTTTCCTCCCTGAAAAATCCTCTCTTCGTGGAAGGTTTTGTTGGCGTCAATGGCAAAGAAAGCTGCCGCTGATGCTTGAAGAGGAAAGGAAAGAAAACTATACTGAGATAAATATTGATGGCACTTGGGAAACAGCTTAAGAGAAAGAAAAACATCACTTGCATGCGGAAAATACTTACAAGCAACAAAGTCACTGAAAACACAGTCACTGCTCTGCTATATAGTCTAAAAGTGTTACTCTTCAGTGGATAATACACCGAATATTTCACAGAGCATACTTGGTATTCCCAGATACTTCACTGCTGCAGTTACAGTGCCAGGAATGTAACACTGAATAAAGCCTTTTCCTTTGAAAAAAGAGAATTCTTTGCATATAATAAAGTATTACAGACTTCCATGCTTAGTTTAAGCTAGCCACACAAATCAAAGAGCACTTGATTTAGAAGTTTTAATCCAGTGGGTCCTCATTGCATCCCACTGCATAAGAGCTCCTTGATTAAAGCTGTAGGTCACACTCAGTGTCTGACCTGAGAATGCTTTGTACAGAATGGAATTTAATCAACACAAATATTTCAGGCCAAAGAGGTTACTCCAGACAAACCATTGTTACTGAATTTGTGCTACTTTCCACTAATGAGATCACTGACCCGTAATCCTCCACACCCTACACAGTTTTTGCTGTTGGTCACTGTTCCTCCCCCTCCAAGTCCATGCACATACTCCAGTTACACTTAGGGAGACAATGACAAACCTCCTATACATTTCAGCTAGGTGCTCTGTGGCACAACAAAATAAAGTCCCTTCAAACATGTCGGTGCAGCTCACCTGGATGTTAAATCCTATGAGTTATCATTACACTTGCACAAAAGTATGAAGAAAAAAAACCATTCAAAGCTATGCAGGGTAACTGCAAAACAGTGACTTATAAGTGGACTTATAAGTGAGGTGGGTGCAAACTGCATTCACAAGACCCAGGTGAGTCAGATGTGTGCATATACTGTCAATTAAAAACTCTGCACCACTACTTCCACTGTAAGCACATCTGAAGTATGAGCTGTGCAAAATATTTTTGCCACTAAAAAAACGCAACTATTTAAGCAGCAGATATCTTACTTTGAATCGTGCAGTTTTCCGTTGACTTTTATCTGGTTTTGGCTTCTCTGCATAAAGAGGGTTGTTCAGGAAAGCCTGGGCCTTGAGGTCAAACTGCACAGACCAGTCCCACACAGTAAGAAATCTGAAAGGACCGCTTTGTGTCTTGAGGCTTTCACCCGTCTGCCAAAACAAACAGCTCACAATTAATACTGCCAGAAAGGAACTCTGACCAAGTCAAGGTGAAAATAAGAAACTGGCTTTTTCCAGAAGAGGCCACAGAGTTGCAGCAACACTCTCATTTCTGTGTAGTCAATAGCTGAACCTTATTAGATGCCAGTGAGTACAGACACAAAGGCTATCTATATATTACTCTCTGTAACTACTGATAGTATTTCAACAGTGCAATGAGACAGCACAATTTCTTTCCCAGTTGAAAGTAATTAACTAACCTGAGGGGGAAAAAAAGCTTTGAAAATTGGGCAGGAGACAGACACTAAAATTATTTAAATGTCAGAGGTATGTTATGATTGTGAAATAAACTTCTACAAACTTCACAACTTAACTTCAGTTATGAAGTGCTACCAGTTTAAATACTGTGACCAACATTTTATTTATATGCAAGACACTGATCTTTACTTTTTTTAGTCTCTGTGCAGCCTTGCAGAGGCTACTCCTACTGCTTTCCAGCTTCTTAGACTAGAGAAAAGCATGAATGTAATGTAAATCAACATTCAGGAAATGCTGATTTTGGAACTGAAAATACGTGAGCTTTGTAGATAACTTAATTCTGCAGGACAACAGGATATTCCTCTTGGGTTAAGGAGCTCCACTGCCATGAAAGAACAAGAAACATGAATCCATAATCACCTATTAGAAGTAATGTATTTCTAAGTTATCTTCCTTCTGTCATCATAAGTCCTGAACTTGACTCCTTAAACCCAAAGCTGCACTCTTTCACCTTTCAAGGCACCACTCTTCAAATAAATACGGAAAAAAGTGCTACTTAGGAATTTTTTTCAGTGTACCTTTGCTTGTTGGTCAAACCTCTTCTCCAAAACATTGCACCCAGCAAATAACTAACCCTTACCGTACTAGTGTCTTTTTGATGTTGCGAGTTGAAGAAGAAAGTGCTAAAAATAGGCACATAGAGGCTGTCTGACAAGACAGTTAAGTAAGTTTCTGTGAACTCAAATGCTGGAGGATACTGTTGTACCAACTGCCAAACACAATTTAGCAGGAGCAGAAAAACAGGAGCCTAAGTAAAGAAAATACTGCATTAGTTTCAGAAAAAGTGTATTCTATTCCACAGACTTTATTTTACAGTATTCAGTGTCTTCAAATACAAATCTTAAGGAAAGCAATCTGGTTAACTACAGAACTGCTGCATACAACTCTGGCTGAACTCTGAACAAGTATCATCTGAGCTACCCTTGGCCAGCTGTTGACAGAGGAACACTTTGTAACATGAATTTGCATACATTAACTTGCTATGAAAGCTGCTGCTATGCAGCTTTTTCAAGCTAGCAAAGCAGAACTAGTTCATAGCAATTCTTTATCAGAACAAGTCAGTTTACACTTTTGATTTCCATTCCATATAGCAATCTGATCTATTCCCAAAATATAAACAAAAACTGAGAGATGGGACTCCAACATTCAGCAAGTGTGTAACTTTAAAAACTAGATGTGACAAGAATAGGCAATTGCGTTATTTTTATTTTTGTGTTATTTAATGCAGTTTAAAAGGCAATGAGATATATGTCTTTCAAAAGACTCCAAGATTGAATGGGAAATTTTACATTTGTTCTCTTTAGTTATGAAGACACTGCTGAACTCTAAAGGGCACTGTACAGAACACTCAAAGCTAGAAGTAAAATTAAAGATTTTCAGAGTAATTGGAACTTTTGAACCGACTGCTAAATCCCTCCTTATGCTGAGTAAATTTTTAAATAATAAATAAAGTAAAGAAATCATACCTCTTCTTTGTCACTTTTATGTAAATGGTTACAACGATCCAAAAAGCTATGTCCTCCAATTACCCACTCCTTCTGAATGAGGCTCTGAAACCCTGACTTTGTTCTGCTGTATGAATCCATCATCACTTGAACCAGACTAGAGATCACACAGCACAGATCAGTAGCACTCTCTTCTGCAGAAAAAAACCAGAAACCACATTGTTTAAGCCATTCCTAAAACTTCAGACAAGAAAAAAAAGTATTGCTATTCTTGCACAAACAAAACTGTGTTTCAAGATCGAAGAAGCACACAACTTCTTACAAGTGTTACAGCATAAAAATTATGTTTCCAATACTTCCCTTTGTAAAAACATAAGGTTCCTGATACATTTCTATGAGGATACTACTTTGACAATAAAATCTGCAGACAAGCTTTTACTACTCTAACTTTGATGCCTATGCCCTTCCATCTCCCACAACGCACATACTGCCGCTCGTGCCATGCCAGCTATCTGCCCTTACCCTTCCTACCTTGCTTGCAGCTTTTATCAGGGTGTGGAGTTGCCTCCTCATGTAACATGCATTCTTCACCCTTCAGATGCCTTCTAGAAGCATCTCTTCCCCATGCTAGTTCTCAAATGGCAATGTATGGAAAAAAAACAACTCCATTGCTAATCCAAAAATAGCTTAATGGTTAACACAGAGTTTGGTTTTCCATGTGATTACTTTACTCAATCTAGAAAAACTGCTCAAGATGTGTGCAGTAAGTACATTCTTTCATGTGTTCTTAAGACAACATGGCATTCACTGTGTAGAACACAAAAGCATCCTTTTACAAAGTTTTCATGCTCAGTGTGCTTTGTGTACGTGTTCCCCCTACCCCTTAAAGTACAGCAAAAGTTCTAGGACACCTTTAATGAAGTAAGTTCGGAAAAAGGAATGCATGAACAAGAGGCAGGATGACACTCCTGCCAATTTAATAAAGTCTGCTAAAGCATATAGAAAATAAGGAGGTGACTGGTGGCAGCCAACATGGTTTCACTAACAGCAAATCATGCCTGTCCACTTGGATGGCCTTTCATGATAAGGCTACAGGGATGATGGGTAATGGCAGAGCAACTGACCTCATCTACCTGCATCTACAGGACAAAGGGTAATGGTTTTAAACAGAGAGGGGAGATTTAGGTTAGAGATTAGGAAGAAATTTTTCACCATGAGGGGAGTAAGGCACTGGAACCAGGTTACCCAGGAAGACTGCTGAAACCCCGTCCGTGGAGGTATTCAAGGCCAGGTTGGATGAGGTTTGTGCAGCCTGGTCTAGTGTGAGGTGTCCTGCTCATAGCTGAGAGGTTGGAACTTGATGATCTTTAAGGTCCCTTCCAAGATATGATTCTATGATTCCATAATTTATAAGCAGCTTTTACATTCACAACATATTTCTCTTAGCCTGGAACTATGCTTACCATGTTTTTTTAACCGCAGGAAGCATTTTAAGTAGTTAGAGATACAGGTGTCTGGTATTTACAGTACTATGAATTTTACCAGCCACTACCATAATAAACTTGCAGTTTAGGCTACATCTAAAGAAATTAAACAGAAATTTTTAAAGATACATAATCTCTTTAAATTCTTACCTATAAGGAGAACATTTGTATGCTGTCTTTCCAGACACTCAGCAACTTCAATTGCTTTTTTCAAGACTCGCCTGTTGTAGTATAGGAGAAGATAAGCAAACATTTTCATACCATTTTTACAATTCAGCTTCTTACATTACTTTCCCCTAAAGGAGGCTAGCATGTCATACTACTGAAACTTGACTAGTCCTTTAAAACAAAAACCATGCTCAGTGTGTGAATTAAGAACTCTCTATCTTCAAAAGCAAACTTTCAAGAGGTATCTTTATTTGGCCATTGGTCATGCATGTCCAGTTGTCTTTGTACATCTGTAATACTTGACTCTGCATCAATAGCAGCCATCACACACACCAAAGTATTACAATTACTAAAAGCCAGATCTTTACCCTGCCAAGAGTCAGTATCACCACACTTACATTCTACCTACCACATACTACATTTCTCCCACAGTCTGGCTTTAAGAGGCAGAGGGAAGTATCAGCAATCAGATTTTGTAAACATGCAGACAAAATTTATTCAGAGATTATCATTACACGAGGAACACTGAGTGGAATCAAAGATCACATAAAACCAGATGTAACAATGTTGGTTTCTAGACCTAACTCTTCATAAGGTTGGTTATTTTCAGCACAAGTTTGCACCCAAATTAGGACTCTTGCAGCTACTTAGGTCACTAATAGAAGCTGACAGCTAATTTTGCAAGTGTGGAGTTGTCAGATTCTTTCTTCTAACATCTAGAGTAGGTGAGAAGGCATTCCTGCTAACTGCAAGACTCAAAAACATGATGATCCAGGAAGCAACTGGACCCAAGTATGGAAGTTATCAGTCTCAAAGCAGTGTAAGGGTAGGAACTTGGGCTGGCATTTCCTTGAAAGTTCTTTTAATCTTGATTATGTCAGTGCATTTTGCAACATATGACCTTTACTAGAACCTCTAATTCAACATACATTTATATTATGGATAAGGAATGAAAAAGATCACTATTAAGGCTAGAAAGAACTGAAGTTGACTGAAGAAGACTGCAGATGCAATTAATGGCAACAAGCTGATCACAGAATGAACTGGCAGACAATAGAGCTAGCACAAGTAACACTGAAAACAAAGAAAACTCCTCAACATTCCACTATAACAAGCCTCAAGGTAGCCAACACCATTCCAACACTTACTCACTGTGGACTGCTGAGAGAAGAAAAAAGAACTTGAGGAACAATCAGGAGAGGAAGGGGACAAAACTGAGAACAACTGTCATTTTATAAATCTTTGGTGGGCTAATATCTTGAATACTGCAGTTCATCCCGTCCTAAAGGATATTATAGAAGTAGAGAGTACAAAGAAGAATGGCAAGGCTAGTCAGAGACATGGAATAGTTTCATGCAAGAAACAAACAGGATTCTTCAGTTTGGAAAGGTGACTAAGTGCAGGAGGGAAATCACTGGACCTATAGTTTTAATAGGTTTTCTGGAAGAGTTGTAATTGGAATGATCTGATGCTTCTCACATCCTTTCATGTGGGAGGCTTATCACAGGCCTGCACTGTAAAAATACTGTCTCAAATTGTAGAAATAAGATACATAAATGGGACCATAAGTCTGTCTTAAATTTATTTCCTACTGGAGGTAAAGAATGTAGTAGTATTTCAAGGAACTAGCTAGAAAACCCACTGCAAATGCATTTAATAACAAACAATCTGAAACCCAGAAAGTGAAATACAGCAAACCTGATTATCTCTAGCCAGTTTGTGCTCTCCAGTAATGAAAACCATTTCACATCAGTTGCCCAGAACTCTGCACTGTTATCTGGAAAAAAAACAACAACCCAAAAAATTGGTTTGTTCACATACACAGTGCTAATTAACAGCCATCCATCTTCAGTTATGCACTGTTCTAAACCAGCCAATACTAAGGAGTCAGTAAATCTAAATCACTGTTAAAGTCAACACTCAGTAACTAAATAAGGAAGTGAAGTATTTCTACTAACACCAGTAATTTTATAGCACCATAAGCTTTTTAAAAAAATATGCTGTAGGTTCACAGCAACCAAGCCAAGTTAATAAATCTATTGAAAAAATGGGAAAGGAAAAGCAATTTAATCACAGGAGATGCTTCTACCAAGTTCCATTTGCCTTGACTCTACAAGGATGATCTATACAGAGTTTAGTATCAGGAGACTGCATTTTGAAAGAGCGAGAAACACAAATGAGTTTTAGAAGGGGGTTACAGAGATTTACCAGATATAAGACTACCTGAAATGTTTTAAACAGTTTTCACTGAAACTGACAAGGTATTAAAATACATTGAGAAGGCAGTAGCTAAGAAAAAACAGGAGTCCAAGTACAAATTTAAGAATTTGAATTGGATTTTTGTAGCTAGTTAAATGCAACCTTAATCTCTATTGCTTTTATTTCTATCAAGGTTAGTACTCAGAAACTGAAAAGCTCTCAGAAGCTGAAACATTCAACTAAAACCAGAATAATTACCTTTTCCTGCAGAAGACAACAACTATTGAGAATCAATTGAGATACACGACATTTCCCTCCTTCCCTTCATTGCCCTGGTAGCTTCTGTCCTGCATGTTTCCATATAACTTCATCTCCCAAAGCCTCTCCATATGCTTCCAGTGTTTACTTCAAAACATACCCACTTCTGTCTTGTTTTCTGGAACTTACATCTATAGTCCTAAAGTGCACAGGCATTTTTCTGTTTTGTTGCTGTAGCTGTCTGCCTCTGACTGCTTGTGCCCCTCATTCTGTTCATTACACACTTAAAAAAAATAAATCTTTCTTTCCCTGACTCCTGTCTCCCTGGCCATAGAAGCTAGTTCTCCATAAAATAAGCATTAGAATACATCTTAAAAGCTCCTTAGTCATTTCTGTTCACATTAGATGTAGTTTTCTCAATTTTTTTTTTGTGATTAACACCTTCAAATTCACTTCCAACTTTTAAGTGTTATACACTTTGAAGACTAAAGTATGTACATTTCAGTACTTCAAGTAAGATATCCTTTACTCCCCAGTTCACCCTGTTTCCATGTGAATTTTAAAATATTGCCTTGCACCCAAGTCTCACATTTCATTTGGCCTGCCACCACTATTTGAAAAACTCTCCCCATTCTGAAGCAAGGCAAAATTACAGTAGTAATTTCTAGTCCTTCAAAACTACCCCAAAAAAACCCCAAACCATAAGGAAGAGGAATTTGTCTTTTTTTCTGTAGAAATAAAGAGGATTCATCTTAGCAATAACATTTATATTCCATACAGAAGTGTTTTTTTTAGTTCTTTCTTACATTATGAACAGTATAGGAAAGTTTTACTCCAAAAAGTTAAATAGCCACATTAAGCATGGCTGGCTGTTTGTTTTGCTAAACTGTGCTCAACCACAATTAGATTCAACCACTAGTTTGCAGGTGTCTACAGACAATTGCTTGGTCTGGCAGTTCTGCCCCAGCCAAACTCATCTGCAAGTCAAAACAGGAGCTTCTTTTTAAAGGCACAACAAAACACCTGCGGAATGTTTTACCCCTTAATTAGGGTATTTTGCTTAATAATATCATAATAAGGGATCAAGTTTTCCCTTCCTCCTTGTCTTCTAGGACACTGAAGAAATATTCCACTAGGATTTGAGAAATGAAGTGTCAGGTATGTGGGGAAATGGCATACAGCAAAACTTGTGAGCAGTCTAGCAAAACTAGCATCTGCTTTTGCAACATTTCTAAGAGGAGTAACAGAAGAGGATCCAAGCTTTCCCCATCAAAACCCACTTTTAAGCAGGGTTTTAAGCAGCTACATACTATTGTGGTTTGTGCTTTGCCTAATGAAGATTCTTATAACTGAAACTTCAGTTTGGGCATGTGTTCAGGAAATTTAAATTGCACTGAAGTTACCTAAATCAAATTAACTAGACCTATAGAACAAAAATAATGGCTAATGTTCTAAGACTTTGAAAAAATAGTAGTATTGTAGTCAATTCCTGTAAGATCTTAGTATTTCTGCAAGAAGTTACCCAAATGGTTTTCTCAGACTCTAACAAAGCTTATTTAAAAAGCTGCATGACAAAAACACTTCCTGGAATGCAGTTTTAACCTATTCCTTTTTGTTTCAAGTAATGTAAGACAAGGACGAACTTACATCATTGAAATATGCACTGTTTCCTGAGAGAATTCAAGCTTTGGCCTTTTTCCTGCAGGAAGGAAACTACATGAAACTCTAAGTAACTGCTTTTAGCTCTTCAGTTTTGCTGTGGATTTGACAGTGTGTTCCGGACAAAATCCTCAACGTGAAACTCTGCCAAGTCTTAGACTTCAGAGCATCACTCAAATCTTTACCATATAGTTACCAGAAATAATTCATACTAATTTGCATTCAATTTACCAGTTAAACTGCATGTATAAAACTACTTACTATCTGTATGCTACACTGCAAATACACAGTTCCTCAATGATGATCAGTTCAATTATGCCCAAAATCAACAGCCAGAGCTTAACTGCCCCAGTGTTCAGCTGTGGTCCTTAAAGTAAAGATCACAACAAGATAACATAGGATAACAAAGGAATGAGCTGGGGCCAAAGATTAATCACACCCTGGCCAGAGGGAAAGAGGCAAGTAGGGTTACCTGAGAATAATCTCAAGTAACCTAAGACCAATTAACATGACAAAAATCACACTCTTGAGAGAAGGATCTGCTTGCTAATTTCAGACCACCTTTCTATAATGAACTAGACACTAATCAGAGCATGCACAAAGGGCATTAGTTACATAAACAAAAGGTGACCAATGAACAAATACTGTATACTTTCCTTTGCTGTAGCCTGTATAAAAACCCACAACCCCTCTGAAGGAGTGTGCTAGCTTTACAATTGCCTGGCACCTCTTTCTGCACAGAACTGGATTAAAAGTGGATCTGAACTTCATGTGCCCATTTTGCAGGGGCCAATGAGCATGAACCTAAGTCCTGACTGACGGGCAACACAGCATGCCAGCAGAGGGTACTGCAGTATTTCCTCATTATCTGGTAGTAGACCCCAACCCTAAGACACACTGTACAGCTGCAAGGTGGTGTGGACATTTTACATGCCAAGAGGTGACATCGAAACACTGTTTCCTGACAGCAAAACAGAGTCACAGAAAAAAGCCTGAAATCCACAATTATACTTTCTCATGGCTCTCATTTTCACTCCTTTCAAGTGGACTTACTATTGACAAGAGTTCAGCCCTGCAGTCAGAGTGAAGGAATTTTAAGCAAGCTCAAGTTTCCTGTTTTGAGAGGTGAAAAGTTTGTAACAAAAGCTAGGGCAAAAATTAGAGCTTAGACTTAACTCTTGACACAGCACAAAGACTTAAATGGTCAACACTTCACATTCTATTTCAGTGGACTACAAAAAACAGAAAAATCTCTCCTAGAAATTTCAGTCCAACTAACTTTCACTCTTTAAAAGACATTTTCAGATACTGTGACTGCTCAGCAAGAGGTAATAAGTCTAAGACCTACAAGCCTCCGTTAACACAGTCACAAGCACAGTCTTCAGTTACATATTTAAGAGTCTGCTTTTAACTACCATCAAAAGCAAGATACCAATCAAGACAAGGACTGCATTCATGAGACATAAACCAGCATTGTTATGATTCACATATGCAGTCACTTCAGAGACAAAAGACTGAAGTTTGACTTACCTATCAAAAACAGCTGTTTAAATTTTGTGTATGCTGTCTGGATATCTTGCAGAGATGGAAGGCTGCTTGACAAGTCATCCGTCTTCAGGAGTTCATAGGGAGGTTTGCTAATTGTCTTATAGATTCTAAATCAGATCATCAAGAGATTAAAGCTTTCTGCTTCACAAGTCAAATAATGCACTGTTATCACTGAAGACAGACTTAATAAGCATGGACTGGGAAACAGCTGTAAGATGGAAAGATACACACCCCAAAAAGCTAATGGCCTCTGTGCACTTTGGAATCCTGGCTGGAAGCATGCCTGCAAGTGTTTGACAAGTTTTTCTGCTCTTAACTGTTACACCAGTAAGATAATATTAATGTGTATTTGTGCATTTATGAGTATTACAATCATTACTTGATTTTTTTTTACTACTGCTTCTTTAGTATTGTCTTCACTAGATAAACAAAAAATTGCTTTACTAGGGGGCTATTTAGAGGTGACTCCAGAAAGAGGATATGAATAGGAACACCCAAACCTCCCAGCAGACACTTAAAATTTTTCTTAAGTTTTACCAACCAAATTACATTCTGATACCTAGCTGTCAAGTCTGCTAATGAAGCACGTGAGTAAAAACAAAAAGAAACAATTCGGACTCAAAGTCAGGATTCCTGCCTTGTACTTCCCTATGTATCTGCTATTTTTTTTTTCCTTAGGAAGAGAGAAAAAAAAACATGCCAGATGAAGATTTGGTTTGGACCAAGAACATCCTCTCTCAAGCAGTTTCCAGAGCTCAGATGAACATCAGTGTAGTAAACCCCTCTGTTGACATGATGGCTTTCCATTGTCAAAACTGCTCTAGCTCTTGCTTCAGAAGTGAAGCCTTGTGGGCATTTGCCCAAAGAGGACAGTACTTTGTTTCCTGTATGTTGTAGCACAGAAGCCTGCTTTAAGTGAGAACTACAGAAGCCACAGCAGAAATGCAGTTACTAGATCAACCAGGAGATGCATTAGAGAAGAGAATTGAGGGAAAGCAATCATCTGTCAATTATGATACTTCTTCCAAATTGAAGTAAACAGTATGCGAGAGTAAGTTGTTAAATGTCAACCTCTGCTGTGTGGTTGAATTCAGACTACTCTACAATGGCATGTTAAGACACCTTTATGGACAATTTGCAGATAAATTTTTTAATTAGTGGTTAACCACCAGTACTCCATAACAAAAAAACCACACACCCATACTGCCCCCAGTCCAGATGGCCATGAACAAGAGATTAAAAAATCAGTTACAGCTTACTGCTAGTTTTACTTAATTTCACACAATGAGCTCTAAGTCATGTAAACTTCCCCATTTCAGGGGAGAAACATTAGAGGATCAACAGAAAGGGTCAAAAGCCTTTCCTATGCAAGTATAAATATTTTTGTTTATAAAATTAATTAAGAGCCTTTCTGTTAGTTCTGTGTGATTCACAGCCCTAAGATTTTGTCATTCTGTGATTCAGGATAAATGATGTATACTAGCCTGATAGCTTGCTGCCAAGACAAAACTTCTCACCAGGATATCCAACAGGTTAAAAAAAGCCAGAAAAAAGACTATGTCACTGATACCTCTCAGCCAGGCAGCTGCTGTGCTCTTCTCCTTATGTTAACTTAGGCATTTTTCAGACTGCTGGGCTAATTCAGCTCACTAACTCATATGAGGCAAAGTGATGCCTGCCATTGCATCTAAAAGTAGCAGTACCTAACTGCTAAATGGTCTCAGTCATTTTAGGCCACTTTCTCTAGAGTTATTGAAGAACACAAATCTAGTTCAGAGATAGAGCTCAGAGAGATTTAAAACTCAGCTTGCAAATTCATGTTTAGAGATGGAGTCTAGAATTCACTTATCTACAAACACAATGGTTCACATCAGCTACTGACACTTTACTGAAGCACCTACAGGCTTTGGTGCTGCTTTACCTAATAACATGCCACAATTTGTGCATGGATTAATCTGATACATAGATTTTTTTCCTCCAATAAGCATTCAGTGATGGTACAGTCCTGCACAATTAACTGTTAAGCCAAGGGCTTAAACCCATTCCACTACAGAAAACTGCTTTATATCTAGAACTTGCTTCCTGATGTGTGCAAGCTTAAAGATACAGCATTTATGGGAAAAAGAGAAGCAAGGTCCATACCAAGCAAAGTGTTGTGGACAGAATAGCTATTACTGACCCATCCAAGAAGGCTTTTTGCATTTGTGATGTGCTGTCATCCTGTTCTTTGGGAAATGCAGACATTTTGAGAAGAGCAGCACCATTATGGCAAGACCAACACCAAATCTGTAGGAAGACATTTACCAGGCAGATAAAAATTGGTAAACTGTCCCATTCAAAGTATTTGCTTAAGTGACTAAGTGATTACAGGAATTTTCTCTATGCTGTGCCTACAGAATTTTTGGTACATTCAACAAATGCATCAGTAGAAGCCAACTTCCAGCTTCTGCACCAAAACTAAATAACTCAGTACCACTGTGTTATCACTTGCAAGTTTTAAGTTTTATACAGGCAAGGGGAAATATAAAAATGTCAGATTACATCAGTACGCTACCTTGTCAACTGTGCTCAAGCCTGAAAATTGATCAAAATGTCTGTCTTCCAAATTTTGTTGAAAGACAATCACCACAGCAAGATGGCTTACAATTAACTCCTGTATTAGCCATCAATTTCTGTGCACAGAGTAGCAGTGTTTTACCTATTGGTCACCCTTTAGATACCTCGAAATAGATACACTCTCATGCCTGTCCAGGTGGCCTACACATGAAGAGTCATTTAGGGATATGAAATAAAGATATTAAACAAGAATTCCATGACTAAATTAGATTGCACAGTTACAGGTACTTCTAGTGCTAAGTCAGTCCTCAAAGCTTCTGACTTCCTCTTACACATTCTTGACTTACACCTATTACTTGAAGCTCTTAAATTGATCTTTAAATTTGCTTTGAAACTGGAAGTCAGAATAATTTTCATCAGAAATATTACACAAGTCAAATCAGGAAGTTAGAATTCTGCTACAAATTTACAGTAGCCAAGGAATGCACCTCAGAATGATGCAGAAACCTCAAAATCGTAAGTGGAAAAAAATTACTATTGCCATCTGAAACTGATATAACATGGTCAAGCTATTTTGACAGTAGCTCTCCAAAAAGGATTTAGAGCTAATTAGAACAGTTCTACAAGACCTCTGAAGAATGCAAGATGTAATTTTAAAAAAAAAAATCTCTTCTATTTCTGTGTAACAACCACTGTGATTTGTCTGGTTGACTATCTGAGAAAAAGTGAGGCAAACTATTTGAACTTCACTGTCTGAAAGGACAAACTGGGCAGGACAACACAGCACTGTCTTCTCCACGTATTGATTCATTTAAGACCATTAAATGAATATAGTTTTCCTTGGCAAACTTGATGGGCATGCAGCAACTAAGGGAAGACCTCATAAGTGAGATTACTTTGCTCCTTGTATCTATCTATTGTCTTACTGGTTCTCAAACTCTGGTACAGGGTAGGAAGCCAAAGGCAGCTTGCGGGGTGCACAACAATACACTTAACTTCATTTACTGTTGAGACTAGTAGAATTAGTATTTCAGCTAGGCTACTTGGCTGTGTAAAGATGCTGCATCATCACAGCTATACTACTTAGCAGTACCCAAGCTGGGCAACTGAAAGTATTCCACTATATCTGCACATTCATGGTCTTCACTGCAATATCCAAACAGCATTTCAAGCCCTACATCCCGCCCCAGCTAGATGCCAGTCTTGTGAAAAATGAGCTGGTAGACAGACAGACTAGTATACATGAAGACTATAAAACTTTAGACATCTGATCTAAGTAAATGGGGTCTGTGAACCCTTATCTTGCTTTACATTCTTTAAGATGAATTCAGAATACTTTGGACACTTCTCCATCCAGCATCTACTTCCTGTGCTACAGATGACTAAGTCTAAGCTGTTAAAAATAATATTCATTAACATCTGAAATGCTCATTGAAATTACCCTTTCTCAGCAAGATTTCTTACCCT